TTTTTTTTTTTGAGTATCGCTGCTAGCAAATGCCGTATATTACAGCTGTAAAAAGCAAATGTTAATAAAAAGTACAAAGCGTCACTAAATGTTCCAGAAAACAATTAAAAGTTTATGTTTTCTAAAACTTTTGGCTTTTCCAGGTGAATTATTTTACCACTTTTTTTTTTTTGGCAAAACTGCTTTAAAAAGCAATAGCATTGTAAAAAAAAAAAAAAACAAAGGCGGAAAGATTTAAAGAAAGCAGCTTTCTTTACGTTACACTTAAATCATTATTTTTCTGAACTTAAAAAACTTTATTTTTTTCAAGCAATTGCAACATATCACTGCTAAAAGTAGGATTCTAGAACTGAAACTGAGAACTGTAACTATTAAAAGGTGGTTTAAAATTTAATATTAGTACAAGAAATTAAATTTTAGCACAACTTTAAGAGCAGAAAACAAAAATTTTACACTCAGTTACTTTAAAGTATCTGTAGTTTCTCAGTAACTTGGAATAGCTGAGAAAGCGATACGGTGAAACAGTGCCGGGAAAAACGATTAATCTTGTAAAAACTTGTGTTAATATTTCAGTTAAAAATATAGTTGAAAATTTCAAATATTTTTTAAAAAATGCTTCTGAATTAATTTACTGTATCAAATATTGTTCGCTTGTCGGTTTACAGGTTTTATATGTCGTTTATAGACAAAACTTTTTCTAGGTTTAAAATTTAAATTTATAGAGGTTCAAATTTTTGAGAACTGTATTTCGGCAATAATTTGCTTATCTCTTCATCAAAGATTTATCGAATTTTTTGACAACATTGTCTAAAAAAATTTATCAACCTACTTCCAAGCCTTGTTTATCAAAAGTCTTGACCTTAAAAAAAAAAAAACAAACAAGCTAAAATATTATAACTATGATTAACACCAATCAAAGTCTCTAGTGCAGTGTTAGCCTTAGCACTAACGTTTATTGATAAAACAGTAGTAAACTTATAGTTTCAAAATAAACCTCAAAAAGAAAAAAAAACAGTAACCAGAACAGGTGATAAACTTTAAGTTCCTAACCAATTGAATATTATATGCTTTCTTATCGTGTAATAGAAAACAAATAATAAACTCAATAATTTGAACTTGAACAAAAAAAAAAACCGGAGAAGTATTGCAGTAATACAGCCGTCTTCGCCAATTTTTTGGGAATTCATTTTCTTATTTTTGTCGACTTTCATAATATATTTCAACGTTTTGTTTTTTTAATCAGAAACACCAACTTTAAAACAGTTATATATATATTTTTTTTTTTGCATATCAGACAATTACCAAATTAGAAACTTCTAACTGGTTTCTTTTATCTTTTCTTTTTCTTTAACTGTTTCAACCTAAACAAAAGAAAAAAAAGAGAAGAAACATTTGTTTATTCTGTTTAATTAAAATGCCTTAGCAAAAACTTTATGTTGACAATATTGAAGAAATCTTAACGCAGAGCAGTCCGAAATTTGAATT